CGTGGTTTTATATGAGCTTGAGGACAAACTTTTCAGTTAAAGAGGTTCAAAGCTAATTAATTGTACACTATTATGTCGTAAAGTGGCCAGATGGGGCTTATACACAAGTAAGGAAAAAGCTTCTGAGAGTGGAGTTCGGCTTCTATTAAGCATTTTTACATAATTCTTTGAAATCTTAACTTGCAGATATTACTGTGGAAATTTAAAATAAGGTGAAAAAAATGGCAGCTAGTTTTCCACCTTCAAAATTCCACTTTTTGACCATAATTTAAGTGCAAGCTTTCAGACATTCAAGAACAGATTTGTTTTCACTTAACAATATCATTTAGTGAATTTCCGTCTGCAATAAGGGGGTCTCATTGGGGGGTTATGATCCAAGATCCCGCTTATCATTGTAATAATAGCACTTGTAATTTCATGTGTCCCACCTGACTTCGTTTTCCGTTTTCATGCAAAATAATTTGACTTTCACGTGTCACGCTTACAAAATATCGGCAAATCCCGCATCAGGCTTACACCCCAATGAGACCCACCAATAACTGTAATGTCACTTATTATATTAAAAGTTTGAAAGCCAAAAAAAATTTGAAATGTGAATATGTATTAAAAAATGGTTAAAAAAGATTGTATATTCATGAAGATGACATTTTAACCTCATCAAAGAGATCTTTATTTGCCAAGACAGTGCCAGGGGTACATAATTACCCCGTTAAATTACACTCGAAGTTATCATGAATTATTATATTTACCGATATCTTACAAAAGCATAATAAATATAAGTGTCATTCTTTTGTCAAAATGAACTGTCGACACAAAAACTAAAAATTCTTGTTCCTTCGTTAAACAAATTTAAAAAGTTTTTATCGATACCTGTATTTAATCTTGATGATAAAAATGAAGTCTAAGTTCCTTGGTAGGGGGTCGTAAGAATTGTGTTGTATTGATCAAATCTACATTCAATTCAAGGAATACAGACTTCTCAAGTCAAAAGTGAAGTTTTGTATGTATTTTAAATCCTTATATCAACACATTAGAACAAATTTACTTTCAAGAGAAGTTTACTTTTTACGGAGATGAAAAGAAATTACAGTATTTGCAGGAACTAGGTGCAGTTGTTGTTTATTAAAAATATTTAAATCTGTATTAATCCATTCATTTACTTAAATTCCCTAGTGTAAATCACTAAATGCTTCATACAGATTGAGATTTTTGTACTCTTGAAAATTTCATATTTTCTTTGAGATTGGGAGTAATTTGTTATAAAGTTGAAAGATGTATGGAAATGAATGGACTTACAGAAATGCAAAGTTGCAATTTAAGCAAAACTTGAGTGAGGCTTAGATTACAGAGACTTTAAAGTTTTGACTATTTTAAGAATCAAAACTAAGAATTTATATGAATGAAAGGTGATGATGTTGGGTATAATTGTCAATGAATGAGACAGCAACCCAGTGATGCAAACAATCAAAAGACATCTAGACTCTAGAGGTCATACAACCTTGAAGCTTGAAGTTGTTTTGATTTTTTTAAACGTAATATTAAGTCCAGTGTGAAACTAGGGAGCAGTTTAGTTCTATAGGGTCTTGTGTTCTACTTCTTTCAAATCCAATATTATATAACTTATGAAATAGGTGCTCGTTCATTATTTTATCTTATAAATAGTTGACAGTTCATGATGCATGTTTATTAAAAACCTACGTGTTGTCAAGAATAGATATATACAAAATAGATGTATCAAATTATTTTCATTAATATTTTACAATGGTAGTAAATTTCTTTTCTTCTGGTGTTTAAGAATCTGCATAATTTATCATGTTTATTTCTATATGGTTTGTCAGTTTCATGTTTTTAGCTGTTGGGATCTTGAAAGTATGGAAGTAAACAGTGACAGTGTAAGAAGCTTTCTCAAGGAAAAGATACTGACCTAGTTTTTAATCCTGTTTCTTATATAAGGACACGTGTTAACAAAAATATTTTTTATTGCTTTGAGCTTTGATATTTGAAGGAATATTCCGTTTCCTTGTGACTGTCTAAATGCAAATTTGTATCAGATATCTTTACAAATTTTCTTTTATCATAGTCATGGTATAACTCTAAAGATATTACTCCCCTAGATGAATAATTAAATGTATTGTATTAGGTTAATGTAACATTTTTTTTTTAACAAATCAGTTTGTTCCCAGGTTTTTATATACTTTGATAGGGTCAGATTTTATTAAATCCTTTATAACAGACAGGCTATATCTGTGAGTTTCTGGTCAAAATTATTAATTTTCTCTGATGAATACCTTGATGTTCCACTCATCAGAATTATCAATTGTTTCTCATGAATTCCATGAGTTTCCACTTCAAAGGTTCCGCCAGAAAAGTTAAGTTTTATATTTTCCAACTTATATAAAATTCGTTGACCTTACAATAAGACAAATTAATTTTTCTGTCAGATTTGTAAATATTTACAAAAGGCTGAGATAATGTTACTTGCTATAGGTTGGACAGGGATATATTATTGCCGTGATCTGACATTTTTCATTAAATAGTTGGATTAAAACATTTATTTTCCTGTAAGCTTGATTTAATTCGTGAAATCTGGACATCAATGTTTAATTGAAATCATTGTTATGATTATGTTTGTCGACAGTTGACATATGTCACATGGGTTATTTACGATTGTTCAGGTATTTGTAGTAAAAGTATCAAATCAACACTTCGGTAAATTGTTGTGGGTTTATAAGAGGGTTGGTCAGTTAGATACCTTTGGCATCTCCAGTACAAAAGAGTTCCTTTTGATTTGGGGTAACATTCCTTGACCTTTAACCTGGTTGTAATTTGAAAAAATTATACTGACACTAGGGTCTAACTTATTGCTTTTGTTTGAAAAAAAATGGTGTAATTTGTAAATGTTTAAATAATTTTAGTTTGTAAAAGAGGTCATATATGGTGACCCCAAAATATGCAGATATACATTTACATATTCAGTGCAGGTATATAATGAAGCAAATTTTCTATTTCTGCTTAGTCATCAAAATCCTTAATGCATTAGAATGCAGTACATTTCACAGTTGAACTTATAGTGTTTCATAAGAAAATAGTTTAGTCATTTTTAAGATACAATAGAAACCTCAAAAAGCGTAAAAAGCAGTCAGTTTAATTGTTGGTAAAATTTGATTTTTATTGTAATAAAAACTTCAAAAAAGGAAAATAATACTTGTCAGTTTGGTAGAAAGGTTTGATTGTAAGCGACTAAGAAAATCAATAATTTTCAACACTCTTTAAGAAATGATGTATATTCCTTTAAGCTTCTTTAAGTTAACACAGACAAAATGTCTACATGAATTGTCTTTTGTGTATGAAACAAAGTGATAAAAGTTTTGATTTAGATCACTTTCGGTTTTTTATGCATAGCTAGGTCCTTTTGTTTGCAGTCAATGGAGAAAAGGATTTCACACTTTCAATTTTTTCCGGGGCTCACAATAATTAGTTTATAGAATAGTGTTGGCAGATCATTTTTCATTCGACCAGTCGTTTTTCATGAGAGTTTATGTGAAACTACGTACCGTAAGAAGATAAGATATAGATCACAAGTCTATTGTCATATTACGGTCGTTGTTCATGACTAGATTGCGTTAAAATGATATGTCTTTATTTTTCAAAAGCGTTCACTTTTAAGTATTTTTGTATTACAAATTAGACGGTTATATATGGTAAACTTAAAAGACGAACAACATTTTTTTTGTCTCATTATGTCTTGGGTATAATAGATTTTACTTTCATGTGTGGATTTTTATGTCGTCTGGGGTGGAGAATGTCGATATTTGATCTCTTCATAGACCTATCCATTAGCATAGCAAATGCATAAAACGTAATGAAATTTAAAAGGTCAGATTTATACCGTTTGTCAATAAAACCGTTTCTTGTTCTCGGTACTAATTACAATACTGTGATATTTGTAATTAAAACGTAAATCCTTGAGTTAATCAGTTAAATTTTGAAAAGTTTGTTGATATTTTGATATCCGAATCGTAATGTGCTAGTAAATTGATTCCGAAAAAGGTAGTTGAATGCGAAAGTCTTTGAAATCGGAGATAATATCAGATCCTTCAATAAAAGTGCCATAAAAATTGGGGAAATTATACCTATTAGTTTACCCCCTGTAAATGAAAAGAGAGAAGCCATTAAAAGTAATTTGTGGTGAACTGATCTTGGATTTAGAAGTGTTCTATGTATAAGTATGTTTGTACCTTAAGATAAATGCTTGACACATTCCAGTTTCTTTTGTAATATGTAAAATGGCTAGTGTAGATCTGGACAATGTGGTAAACCACTGATAATGCCACTTAAGTGAAAGAATATTATCTTTAATTTCCTTTATATCCATATTGATATTTGAAGTATCAAAGTGATATCAAGATAATATGCAAGAAAAAACTTTGTATTTGTATTCTTCGTAAAAGGCTCAGTTGAAATTTGAAAAAATAATATGTATTTTTTTTATGTTACACTTTGCTAGTGTAATAGCTGTAAAATACCATCAGTAGGAATTTTTTTATATTTTGAATGACTACAAGGAGATATTGAGACTATGTCCATTCAATAGCAAACTTAGTTACAACACAAAAACTGCAGAAAAGAATAATAGCAAATCTGCTTCTACAATAAGATACTAAATCATTTTCAAGCTCTAAATTTTCCTTCCAGTTTGTCAAAAAATTTTGAAGCAATTCAATCTGGGCTACCAAATATAGGACATAAAGCAAATGCTGATTAAAAAGGGCAAAAACAAGATAGAACTCAACACAATCAATTAAAAAGTAGGTCCTGGATTGGATTGCAAGTTACCCTCACAAACTGAAAGTTTGATAAATTAGTATTAGCATATGATGAGGTTAGAATACAACCAGCAGAGTATGCTCAAAATTTTTCATACATGTATATAGATCGATTTTCTAGTTGCAATCAAAGATGACAGTACATATGTACTAATGTTTTATATTTTATTTCAGGCTTATTTAAGAGAAGGTGTAGCTCTACAACAGTTAGGACAACATGGAGATGCCCTGGCAGCGTTCGCTGTGGGACTGGCACAAGATTCTTCCAATACAAGTTTATTATCCGGACTTGTTGATTCCGCCTTGAAGTCACCACTGAAAGGTCAGTAATGTCGATTCAGAATTTTATGTAATAATAAAAAAAAGATATATATGTTTTTTTTTGTACACTAGACTCCCATTTCGTCTACGAAAGACCCATCAATGACGCTCATATCAAAAAAGTTTAAAGGCCAAATCAAGTACATAGATGAACAGCACTGAGGACCCAAAAAACTTTAAAATTGATTGTTGATTTCTCAACATCCATATTTTCCCATAAAATAAAATCCATTTAAATAGATAAATATAAAGTAAATTTTCATGACCTTTGTCTTAGTATTTTAAATTAAAATAGTTTATGGCTTTAGTTTGAGATTCAAGATCAAAATATAAAAAAAACTTTAAATGCTGTTGAAATTGGATGAAATTTGCATTCTTGAAAGTGCAGTGTCAATACTTTCCAAGAGAGAGATGTTCTGCTCATCTTTGGTCATGCATTCTGTTCACTGCCAAAATGATACAGACATCATGGGACATGCTGCATGAAACTCACTGTTTTATATTGACGTAGAATATAATCGTTTGTTACAAAACTCATGAATTGTTGGTTCCAATAGCATCCAGACAAAATAAAAGTAAAAATCTTTCTTAACTTAGTTTGCTTCTACATACATCAAAACTTTTCTGGGAAAATAAGACCAACATTTAATTTAAACTTTTGATATTTCTATTTCAGAGAAACTGGGTCCAACATTTCAACAACTGCAGAAACTAAAGTTACACCAAAGTCCATTTGTTATAATCTCTGTGATTGGTCAGGAGCTGTTAGCAGCTGGTCTCTATGGCTCTTCAATCGCAATGTTGGAAGCTGCGCTTCAGATTGGGACCTGCAGTTTAAAGTTACGAGGCTCTGTGTTCTCGGCCCTCAGCAGTGCACATTGGGGACTTGGCAACATTGACAAGGCAATAACATACATGCAGCATGACTTGTCTGTAGCCAAATCTCTAGGTAGGTTAGGATAATTGTCGAGTGTTAATACTTTAAACCTGAATATTTTCGTAATTTCAGTGCATAAACTTTTTGCTAGGGGTTGTAATCCACTCATCAACGATAAATTCACACTTCATCACAATTGTTTTGCTTTATAAAAAGATTCATGTGGGGGGAATATTTTCGTGCATTTAGACATAAGTGCAGAAATAAGCGAAATTTTCACATTTATGGTACATCATAGAAAGATCCATTCTATATTACATTGAACATCTTAATAAAGAAAATAGATTGTAGTCTGTTGTGAAACTAAAAATATTTCTTCATTTTCAACTACTGGTAGGATATAAATCTTTGATATAAATAACTTACAGAAATGTTGACAATTTTTAACGATGATAGATATGATATTTAGAATTAGATTCATTTCATGGTTCAAACCAATTATTTGAATTTGTTTCAATCTACTGGTCCTGTCTTTGAGAAATATAATTTCAAAAAAGTTTGTTTAAACCTGTATGGCAGCTTATTATACAAAAAGGTCCATATAGAACACACAGTGTAAGGAATTTTCAGATCTGTTGGACAGACCCTTTCTGTTTGATTATATTTTGAATTCGTACCAACTTGGCATGGAATTTTTTACAATGTCTAACAACAAAATCGGTTAAATTTTGCATGACATCGTGTCCAACTTTGTTATTTTATGTCAAAAAGAATAAGCATATAATGCACTAAATTGACTGGAACATATATTAGATAAGTACTAATGTTTGTCTGTCAAAGGTATCAGATGCCATTAAGACATCTGTCGTGCAACCTCTTTCAAATTCTATTGTTATTTTACTGGGTATCTTGTTCCAAAATCACTATTTTAAAGCTGTTGTTTTTTAAATAGAAAGTTTATTATTTTGCAATATTTTTCATGACTGTTATTTGATAGTACAACAGCTGACAATTAAAAAATTGGGTAAACTTTGAAATGAGATCAGGTTTGTAGTCACGATGAAGGAAATTTGGAAGTAAACTAAATGACTTATTTAAATTTTTAATTCTAAATAATGCATAGGAATAATATTTTTCCAGCTTGAAATCTATAATTTATAAACCTGTCATGAATTCGAAAACATTTAGAGATTAACTAACAAAAATGACTGCCATCCTTTAAATATTCTTTAAGGGGAGATAATACATTTTAAAAACAAAATAGATTGCCAAAATTTCAATTTATAGAAATCAGTTTAATGGAGCAAAGATCTTAATGACATCAAACTTTTTCCTAGGGGCAATGCTTAAAATTGTACTTGTCAAAACAACTTCAAAATCATTGTGAAAATAAGAAAAGGCGAGAACTACAGGTACTGTCACTGAATCAACACAAGGTCAATGTTATACTGAATTATGGCGATATAAAATTGATTTCTATTGAAGAGATGTATTCATTTGTATACTTAAGTCATTAAACAACTTGTTAGATTTTAACATTTAGAAAATTTAATTTAGTGAAAAGACTTAAATATAGTCATTTAAACATAAAATTAACTTGGAACCCCATGGTACCTTAGGGTTTAGGGGAAGGCGGTGACAATGAAAATGTTATGAAATCAAATTTTACAATTATTTTAAGAATTTTACTTTAAAAGGCTACAACAATAAAATGGCGTTAAAATGTCACTAAAATGTTTCTGTTAAACAGTAAAAATTCCATTTAGTATATTATGTTAGATCCTAAATGTTTTCTCCAAGGACATGTACAAACAAAGAGGCGTGAAAGTTAAATTCTTGTTGTAATTAGGAGTTTAGATTTTCTTTGAAAATTCCTCTCATTCAAATTCAAATTCATATTTTCCTATTCAAAAATGAACTGAGGAGGCTTTGAAAAGATATTTTTTGCAGATTAATGATAATGAATATTTAAGTGCAATTCTCAGTTTAAAACTACAATGGTAGGGCTATAATACTGTTAGATTTTTGAAGATTTTCCGGCAACAACTGAAATAAACATCAGTGAAAACTTCATTTGTCTTAATTGCGATATTTGGTTAATTTAGAACTGGATTAAATCATTGCTAGTCATCCAATTGATGCAAACTCTTACTGAGCAGTTTTGAAAATAGCATTTTATAATTTAATTTTCTAAAAAGCCTAAATGACATTAAAGTAGAATTGGCCACTCGTCAGAAAAATGATGAATACAAGAATGATTTACGGTATAAACAATAATAAATTTGTAGATTTTCATTTTTTTTACACAGTGATTGTCAATTTATAAATCAAACCATTGACATTGATAGGATTTTCAAAGCATATTTCATTTTCTTGTAGATATTTACTTTCACATTCTTTGGTGTTTGCTGGATGACGATTTCTGTCATCTTTACCTTTCATTTAGTAGGTTACAATAAATAGTTGTAGAGATGGAAATCACAAAATTCTTTAGTTTATGTTAAAAATGTGACCTTGCCTGTAGGAGTCAAACTTTTAAATGTTCATTTAATTGTATGGTTTGTGGCTGACCATTAACCTTCTCTTTAATTAGAGGTTCACCGTCAGATTTTAACGTGTTGACTTCAGTCGTGATTGAACCAAACTTGTGATCAGGAACAAAATAGGTGTCGAAATTCTCAAATTAATGTCCTTAAAAGCATTTGGTCATAATTTCCTATTATTTGTTGCATATTTTAAGTAAAAATAATTTGAAATGAAAAATGTTTAAGAGCTTGTGGCAATATTTTATTATTCTAATCATGCCAATTTTTTTTTTTTTTTTTTTTTTTTTTTTTTTATATAGTTTTCCTGTTTTTCACATTTTAAGTGGAAAACCATTTACTCTTAATTTTATGTGTTTGTTTTATTATTCTTTGTTTATGTGTTTATTAGAACAAGCCTAGGGTCCTAATGCATATTAAAATTTGTCCTCTTTCCCTTAGATCATTGTCATAAAATATTAACTAATGCCTTTTTCGATAGCAATAAAAAATGTAAATGGTATAGGGTCTAGTTATTTTATAATCTAAATCATTAAGAACTGTTATGTTGAAATCTGATAAATTGGTGTAAATTGATAAAAATAATAAATATATTGGAGTTGTTGCTATTCGAAGCCTATCATTGGGGTGTCCAAGTAATAACTTATTCACTATTTTTTTGCCAATATAATCACATAATCATTAATCTTTTTTTTTAAACAAGATAATCAAATAATCAAAAATACAGTCCTAGATTATCAAATAATCAAATAATCATGAAATATTTGGTCTGGTAATCAAATAATCACTATAAAAACGGCCAAGTAATCACATAATCAAAAACCCCATGAGGAGGCTCATATTTATTAAAAGTACCTCTGTAGGGAATATGAAAAGCATGTTAAACATGAAACTGATACTACATGTATTAGTTATCTTGGTGTAATCAGGGGTGTATGGAATTTCAACACTGGTGTAAAATTCCCTACACCCTTCATTACGCCAAATTAACAAATTTATTTTATGATAGTTTAAGATGCAAATTTACATGCCAGAAGGTGACTTTTTTGTCATGTTTTCATTTACCAAATTAGTTTTTTTTTTAATTGAAAAAATTCACAAAAAGCACAATATAAAAATAATTGGTATTTAATAATTTATTTTCTTTGAATGTGAACTATAAACAGTCTTTCTTTGAGTGTCAAAGATACAGAAACAATTTAGTTTTGAGCATTTTTCAATAGATTATAGGTAAATTCATAATCATATAGGTAAAAAGGTCATTTCACATCCATATTGTCTGAAGTTTAGAGAATATTACAAATCATTTATGGAAAGGAACATTATCTTGTGAAAATTCTGAAAATAGACTTAAAAAACAGAAAATTTACCAAAGTAATAAAATATCAATGTTGAAGAAGTCTTACAAAAGGAAAATAAACAAAACTCTTAAGAAACTTCTTTTTTTTTTTAAATTAATCTTTTAATGTTCCTCGTCATTATTGATAAAGTTGTAATTTGAAATATCAACCAAATGGTCTATTCATTGACGTTTTATAAAGTATTGTATATAGCTTGACAATACTACTACTTCTCACAAGGAGGTGCTCCCAAATTTATTGCAATGTTTAACATCAATCAGTCGTAAATCATTCCGAAAAAAATAAAAAGGTAATAATCTCGTGTTTTTGTGTTGTCGTAACATTAAAACATTGGTGACATCTCTTTATTGACGGTTTCTTTGAGAAAAACTATAAAATGTAATCCATTATTTTTTTTTCAACATAAGCGCCAACACTTATACCAAAGACATTAACCTATGTGTAGTTTTTGCTCGATCAGTTTTGTATGTTCCTTGTGCGGAAGTATAAATGTCAATGAGTTGTCATGATTTATTTCTTTTTTGGTCCCACGGTTCTGTGTGTTTTTATGATAAGTTTACTGTCGTATATAAGTCTACATAAGGTTATACAGGTTCTAAATGGATATATTGTCTTTTTATATTTTCACAATGTCTCTCAGATATCTTTTTGGAGAAAAAATGCTGTTTGTCTCTTTGAATGTTGACATCATTTAGGGGGGGGAAAGGGGGAAAATGCTGCTTCTTTATCTTTTTGAATGTTTTAAGAATGTTTACAAAGTAGACGTTTAAAAAAATTAAATAATTTTTTCGTCCTTTGGGTCTTACTTTTTATGTATCACAATTTGCATTCAACGGATTAGTCTGCATGCAGTGTCATTTGAATAATTACAATAAAATTTTATCAGATAAAATTTGGAAAAAATATTTAATTGTCATTTTACATGAGTCTAGCTGTGACTAAAGAAGGAAAAAAAGAAACCACATTCTTTTTATGTTTTATTGTGTTATTTAATTTCATGCTTTTTTAAATTGAAAGTTGGCAGCTAGAACTAATTATATATAAGTGAAAACAATTATGAAGATTTCAAAGACCGTTTTGCATACCTTTAATTGATTCTTTAAATTTCTTGTGAAAGAATGTTGATATCTTTAATTACACTGTGAAAATGATTATTTTTGACAAACAGTGTTTGAAATTGGGGTACATTAAGAATTTTATCTACAATTTTGAAAACATCAGTATTAAACAGTATGTTTATAAGTATACAATAATTTTTATAAGTATACATCAATTTTATAACTATACAACAATTTTTATCTGCAGTGAAGGGTCTTATTTCGTACAAAAAGTTAAATTAATGATGTTGAATCCTATTTTGGCAACAGTTGTAAAATATATATATATATAGTAATCTTCTTTTTGGTTAATGAAGCGTTTTAACATACATGCCATGTAAACACTTTAATCATACTTTAAATTGATGATGATTTTGTAAGGATAAAGTACGTCTGCTACCAGAACTGTGGTCATAAATAAAATTTTAAAGATGTGAATTCAACTTTGAAATATTTTGGAGACATGTGTCTGAATTTGGCTTTAATTTTAGTTTTTAGGGTGGGCAGAGTTATCACTGTAAACATTAGGTCCTTATTCTCTGATTTCAAATATAAAATAGTACATTGTTGTATCAATCAGAATGTTGCAACTTGTTTGATACAAGATATAAAGAGAAGAACTACATTTTGTGAAATTGGATCACTCGTTCTTCATCTGATAAGTTTGTTAAACAAACTTTTAACTGACGACTGCTAAATAATCGATACGCATTATATCTTTTGTGTTCCTTTATGATAACAAATGAAACAAATTTAAACAGGTTGTGTCAGATAGCAGGGTCGCAGAGTATCATCTGCTTGAATGTCAAAATATTGCAAATCAAATATTTAAGCACTCGAATGACACAGAAGTCATGGTTAATATTAAGCTTTATTGTAAAGTACACAAAGTCAAACTTGCAAACACTTGACTGACACAAGACCTTATGGTGAATGCAGTTGCTATGCCATTGTCTAACATTAGATTGCTTGTAAAACATACAAAAACAAACTTTTTAAACACTTGTCTGTCTTTAGGTCATTTGTAGCTAGGTTCTTAAAAAGTATTTTACTTATTCTAAAATAAACTTTCAAAAACATCAAAGCTTTTTTGAAATTTAGTTAGCCTTCTGCTTAAGTGAAAATTTTTTGAAAACTTCTGTTTAAAACTTGTAAGAACACCTGTGCATGTAAACAAAAATTGATATTGAACTTTTTCCACTTTGCACACTTTAATACTTTCAAGACATGCAATGAGTAAAATTTGCATGAAAAAAGCTACTTTGATGTATTTGAACATGTCCTGGAAAAAAAATTACAAGACATCCGGCAGAATATTTGAATAAAAAATTATGATTTAAGGATCTGCCCCATTTCAAGCAGGATCAACACCCTTGAAAGTCTTTTGTCTTCTTCTGTAAAAGGCCTTTGGTTGATGATACCCTGGATGGGTCATACTAGAGACTTTAAAATCTGTATTTGTTGCTCCGCAACAAGCACATTGCATTTAGAAGTAAGAGCAAATACTGGTTAACTCAGAAATCTGTCAGAGCAAGGTGATATTTCTTTCAGCAGATTTTACATTAAAAGCTTAAAGCTAAGACTCTTCATATTGGTTTATTGTTAAACAAGGTATCTAAATATTTTTTGTTTATTTTTTGTTTGAAAAATTGTTAATTATATTACACATCCATAAATTTTTTTTTTAAATGTTGACCAATCTTTTGATTGATGTAAGTGGCTTTATATCAAATTACTTTCATTAGAAACAAGGAATTATTTGAATCTGGAATAATTTTGAATTCTGGAAAATTGATGAGAAATATATGATGAAAACTAAGTCAACTAAATAGGGTTAGCCATGCGTGCATGGCTAAGGTGGGTTAGTTAGTTCATACTGAAATGATAGTGAAAGTAAAATTAACCTTAGCCATGCACGCATGGCTAACCCTATTTAGTTGGGTTAGTTTTCATCATACATTTCTAATCAATTTTCCAGAATTCAAAATTATTCCAGATTCAAATAATTCCTTGTTTAGAGTGGTTTCTTATGCATAAATGAATGTACCAACTAAATGTGTTTTTTGTTTGTTTTTTTAGGGGACATTGAGGGAGAATGCAGAGCCCATGGAAATCTTGGATCCGCTTATTTCTCTAAAGGACACTATAAGGAGGCACTATCAAATCATCGGTATCAATTAGCGTTGGCGATGAAATTGAAACATCGTCAGTCAGCAGCCAGTGCTTTGGGAAGTCTTGGACATGTATATACTGCAATAGGGGATTACCCAAATGCCCTTCAGAGTCACAAACAGTGTCTATTTCTGAACAAACAGTGTGGTGACAAACACGCTGAAGCTCGTGAAATAGGAAATGCTGGTGCTGTATATTTGGCGATGGCAGAATTTTCGAGTGCTGTTGAATGTCACAATAAACATTTAGAAATTGCTAAAAAGTTAAACAATAGTACTGAAGAGGCCAGGGCATATAGTAATTTAGGCAGTGCTTACCATTATAAGAGGGACTATGAAAAAGCAATAAAATTTCATGAACAAGTGTTGAAAATTGCCGAACAGAAAAAAGACAAAGTGTTAGAAGCAAGGGCATATGCTGGTTTAGGCCATGCTGCTAGATGCAAGCAGGATTATGAAACAGCAAAAAATTATCATGAAAAACAGCTTGATAATGCTCTTGAAACAAAAGACAAGGTAGCAGAAGGGAGGGCATGCTCCAATTTGGGAATTATATATCACCAACTAAGAGAATACAAATCAGCTCTTAAACTTCATGAAGTGCATTTAAAAATTGCCAAGAGTCTTGGTGATCGTGCTAGTCAAGGTAGAGCTCTAGGCAACATAGGTAATGCTCATATCGCATTAAAACAATATGATCAAGCTGTGAAGTATCATAAACAGGAAGTGGCTATATCGTCAGAAGTCAACGATCGACATTCTGAGGGAGCAACACATGGAAATTTAGCTGTAGCGTATCAAGCTCTTGGAATGTTCGACAAGGCAATTCTCCATTACATGTCTCACTTGAATATTTCAAAGGAATTAAAAGACACATCAAGTGAAGCAAGAGCACTGTGCAATCTAGGGAATTATTACAGTTCAAGGGGAGATTACTTGTCTGCAGTGAAATACTATGAAGATTATTTGATTTTGTCACAGGAACTACATGACTCTGAAGGTGAAGCTAAGGCTTGTTTTAATTTAGGATACGTACATTTTGGTCTTGGGAATCACTTAGAGGCAGTGCGATATTATGAACAAGATCTGTCTATAGCACGAGAGCTTCAGGACCAGTTAGGCATAGCCAGGGCATATTGTAATCTAGGACTTGCTCATAAGGCATTACATAACTATATGGATGCTTTAGAGTGCCAGAAAAAGTGCTTATCTATGATGAAAAACATGAAAAACACAAAAGGTATTTTCCGTGCTTTGGGAAATATCGGTGATATAACGCTTAAAACGGGTGATACTTCAGAAGCAATAAAAATATACAACCAGCAGTTACAGCTGGCGAAACAATGCAATAGTAAGGATTTGGTAGCAACTGCTTACGGAGCTCTAGGTGCTGCTCACAGAACTTTAGGTCAATTTGATAAGGCTCTAGGTTATCATACGCAGGAGTTAAGTATACGTCAAGACATGGATGACAAGAGAGGCGAATGCAGAGCTCATGGTAACCTAGGTAACGTGCATATGTCATTAGGAAATTATATGAATGCTTTGAAATGTTATGAAGAACAGCTGGAGAAAAGCCAGGAATTACAAGACAGTGCCCTTGAAGCACAAGCTTGTGGTAACCTGGGTATTACCAGAATGAACATGGGTTCTTTTGAAGATGCTATTGGCATGTTTGAGCAGCAGCTTGCTATGCTGGAACAAGTTTGTAGTGCTAATTCTATATATGATAAAGGACGTGCCTTAGGCAATCTTGGTGATTGCTACGAGGCTCTTGGTGATTATGAAGAATCCATTCGGTGTCATGAACAATATTTGGCAACTGCTCAACAAGCCAATAGTCTTTCTGACCAGGACAAAGCATACCGAGGTCTGGGCAATGCTCATCGTTCAGTAGGCAACTTACAACAGGCATTGGTATGCTTTGAAAAGAGACTGGTTGTTGCCCATGAGCTAAACAGCTCCTCAGCAAAAGCTTCAGCATATGGTGAGTTAGGGTGCTTGCATAGCCTGCTGGGTAATTTCGAACAGGCCATCTCTTGTCTTCAGCATCAATTGTCAATTGCCAAGGAAATTGGGGACAGTATGTGTGAAGGGGAAGCAGCCTGTGGTTTAGGAGGAGTTTATCAGAACATGGGAGAGTATGAGAAAGCTTTAGAATACCATCAGATGGACCTGCAGATTGCAGAGACAACAGAAAATACAGCGTGTCAGTGTAAGTAAAACAGGAATTTAGTGCATGTTCATGATCAGGAGTTAATTATTTCTCTAGCTTGATTTGTTAGCGTGTTTTTGTAAGAAATCTTGCATCACTGCATGTGACTGGACTGGTATCCTGTAACTGGGATCCTATTCCATGTACTATTTAATTTCATCTGTACATACCTCGTTTTGCTCATGAATAAATGTTGAGTTTAAGGCTAGATTTTCAAAGGGTTTTTATAAAACTTCCAGTTTTTTAATGTAATGTAGATGAAATTTGTGAAAATTTGACCAATTTAAAAAAAACCAGATTGGATGCATTTAACTTTCTGCAAAATTCTTCACTGAAAAATACTTAATGCAAAAATTTAACTTGTCCTTGAAAATGTAAACAGTAGATAAATTCATTAGCTATTAAAATATATGTTACAATATTGTTGTTTGGAAAAATTGTTCAGTCTGTAATTGTTTTATTGATTGCAAATCTTTCATGCTCAGCTCATTAAAATCTCTCATTATCATTTCTATCAAAGAATTGATTTTAGGAGAAAAAATATTTTCCGTATATTTGTAACAATTACATGATATATTTACTGTCTTTATTGCTATTCTACATGCACTTAGTAACTAGTTCGTTACTAACGAGTAGTTTCTAATGAGGTTTCAAATTTCTTTCCTATGCTAAATAATTAATTATTCATATACAATATAAAAATAAGGAGATTTGGTATGACTGCCAATGAGACAACTTTCTGTTAAAATTCAAATGAAGTGGATGTAAGCAATTATAGGGTTTATTTATATAGTCTTTAATAATTTGTAGTACTTTCTTAATTAAGTCATGCCCAAATTTTATTGAAATGTTGCTACTTTAAGTAAGATTTGTTTTTTTGGAATTCATGTGTAAAAGCAGTAATGATTAAAAGAACATGTAGGCTATTAATTTTAGTGGTTCATGGACATTTTGATATCATTTTAATTAATGTGCAATATATGCAAATTGTTTCAATTAGTTGTCTTTGTAGTTGTTTAACAAATATTTTATTGATCAAAGTTTAATGACAGAACCATTTGTTTCAAACCTAACGTCTAATAGAAAAAAAATGTTTTACAAATTCATATTCAAACAACCTGATCATTTTAGAACATCCAACAATTGTTTACTGGAATTTTATCGGAATTTCGTTAGAGATTCCGACTAAACATGAATAGATCCTAAATTGAGCTAAGACCTGCATAATTCTAAGCTCTGTTTTTGAAATTTCTGCTCTGAAATTTTTTGGAGGGTTGTCAAAACGCATTCATGGGAAAATTTTATTTTTTACAAACATATTGATCATGCTTGTTATCAGACAACATGTTTTTAAAGTGATTAAAAGGTCACATATTCATGGTCTTTTGTCTCTTTGGCTATCAGGAGACAACTGAACTTTTAAACTTTGCTGCCATTTGAGGTTAGACTACTGGTGATTGTTGTATATTTGGATGTATTGTCCTGTAATTGACCTGACCAATGGCAATAGATGGACAGATATCTAGCATTGTCTACCTTAAAGTGATAAATAGTCAATTAGCAATTTGAAGTTTAATTTAATCAGATCATTTATGGTTAAATATTGATGTTGATTTTTTTTTCAAAAAGTACTATAAGGGAGTTATTGAAAATTGGAAGTCAAGGGAAACTCAGATGGAAACAATGAAAACAATTGAAAAAAAATATAACAAACAATATTGTAGATTCATTATAATCTGTGGGACCCAAATTTTCGTGGCTTTCTAGGGTTTGAGTAAACTACAAATTTATATGTTCAAAGTGGTATACATTTTCGATAACTTGATTAGCTTGTATTCAGACGTTGACAAAACCATAAAATCAAAAATCCCTGATATGCAAATTTTCCCTAATCCCAAAAATTTGTTTCAACAAAAAACAAATGAATGCACAGTAATCCGCAATAAACACTGATAATCAAGTAGGGAGTCCAGTCTAAAATAGGGAGGAACACGGATGCCCTTGAAGAATATTTAGTTTTAGGTGCCTCAGCTATTGATGTTAACTAGAAGCAGGTGAAAAAAGTCTTCATAATTAAGTTTACTACTAAATGATAGTGTTCAAATCTATATGCAAACAAGGAGACAATACTAGTTTTAGGTTAGTGCTTAAATTACTGTTTTCCAAGGTAGTTGCTTTTGTCAGTATAAAATTTCCATTTAAAACATATTTCTGTAGAAATAAAATTTGATTTGACATTTTTGCACTTCCAGGTCGAGCCTATGGAAACTTAGGATTATCACATGAATCACTCGGAAATTACAACGATGCTATACAGTACCAAGAACAACATCTCAGCATTGCTGCCCAAATGAATGACAAGGTGGCCAAAACTCTTGCATACAGCAGTCTGGGTAGGTCAAATGCTTGAAAGCATATTGATACACTATTAGAATAAGAAAATAGTACCGGTAAATTGAAATACTAATCCATTAGGTTGTATTGTTTAGAAGTATTCAAGATTGTCATTTGTCTTTTCCAACAAGCAGTTATTATCTTTTCCTATCTTTTCCAAAAACAAAAATTGTGATGGAGGTATATAGTCTGACAACTGTCTAGAGAAGAAATTGTCAAAAACGTTAATGTAAAAATAAACCTTAAGATTTGTAAGAAGCACTGGATTTGAGTAGTGATTGATTTCATTGCCTATAGGAATTACTGATAGAATTGTAAGATAATTTTTTTGCCTTTTTGCCCTACTTGCTATGAGACTATGATTGTACTTATGGCTTCAATAGACAAAAGTCTTACAGTCGGCTGTAACAACAACACAATCCTTATTATCTGTCTACTGATCGATCTTATGTTCAATTATAACCAAATAAACATAGAATTGATCATATAATTGGAAATATATTGTACATGTATATATATGTAGAATAGATCGTATTATTGGAAGTATGTTGTACATGTATATATATATACCTGTTACCTTGATGATGTAAATGTCTAAATCAGTTTGAACAAAATTGGTTTTATTCTTAAATTTTTTAATTCATCAGCGACAATTAATTTATAAAATTGAAATTTTATATCCATGGTTATATATTTAATTGAAAAAAGGACCAAGAAATTCCCATTAGCATCGAGCTACTAGTTTTCACATGGGACAGACATCTAAAAATACATTAAGGTCTTAATTAAAACTTTGGTGCCATAAAAAGGTGGTACAAAATGTAAAAGCTATTTTATGTGATGAGCCATTATTATTTGACAAATCACCCCATTCTGCCTCATTTCAGTTGATTGACGATTATATCTATGTATTCCTTTGTTGTTCTTTTGATCTATCGAATATCAAATTTAAATTGATTGATTTTCAGTTGAAATCGTAAGTGTTTTTGATATTGTATTCATAGTAATGGACATTATAGTACATTGGTGCGATTTTTATCCCTGGGTTAATTTATGTTTTATGTACCCAGGAGAAAAGTTAATCGAGTTGTCAAGATTTGACAATACTTGGTGTTTTATGATGTTTTGATGAAGTCATTTGATAAATAAATAAAAAACTTATTAATACTTTGAAGTGAAAAGGGACAATACAAAAAAATGTAAATTATCTGACCGTTAAATGAAATATATAAATTGTTCTTTTTGTTGGAGTTTCAAAAAGGTCATGAAAATATAAAGTTATTTTTAGCTTGATATTATTATGTGATTTTGGAATAGTGGTGTGATTACTCTGTTTCTATAAATGAAATTATATACTGAAAACATTGTTAATAGATAAAATTTAGGGAAATAGTATTTAATTTTAACATGAAAAGAGTGTAATTATATTGCTCTTTTAATATGAATTTTTAGTTCTAGGTCTAGAATGGGAACCATCTGTTAAAAAACCAATATATGTCAAATTTAGATTGTATTTAAACAAATAAAAGATGGCTCCAAATTTGGTATTCTAGTATAGAGGACTTGTGAACACTTTTGTCAAGTAAATACTAAAATTACAAGAAAACTGAAAACACAATAAAAGATAAGGAAATCATACAGATATTATTTATTGTAAAAAGATGAGTGAAAACCAAATCATTAGGCAAGGATAAATGTAATTTGAAACTTATCGAATATAAATTTGTATAAGGTCATAATATAGTATGTTAAATATTATTTAGTATTTGTAACTTGCTTAAACATAAAACCTGTTTAATCTAAACATCAACTTGTTACAAAGGGGTTCACATTTTCTACATATGTTTTGAAAATATATACTGGAACTCTTTTATTAATACATGACCATTTAAATTTATAAAATATGTTTTAGGACGAGTCCATCATGCCCTCAATAACCACACTCAAGCAGTTGAATACTTGAAGCAAGGTCTTTCAATAGCAGAACAACTTGGTCGCCATGAGGATGAAGCTAAGATTTGCCATCGTCTGGGTTTGTCCTTGTGGGGTAAAGGTGACCTTGAAGAATGTCAGCTACAACTACACAGAGCAGCAGATTTGTTTGAGGGTATCCGTAGAGACGCACAACTCAACAGTGAATACAAAATGTCGCTATTTGATCTCCAAACAGCCTGTTACCAAGCTCTACAGGTTAGTACCGGGAAATTTTTGTTACTTTTGTAGCAACAGAAAATTGAGTGGTTTAAAATCAAAAAAATTATTCAGCACTTTGTTCAACAAATATGAAAAAAGCAAAATTTAACCTTTGAAGAAAATGGATTATAAAAGCAAATTGCATATATCATGTAATGTAAAAGTTTTGCCTAAATGCATTAGTTAAGTCATGCCAAAATTGTCAAAATTTGTAATTATATGAAAAGAAAACGTGTAAAGAAAAGATGTGTTCTATGTATTCCATATTGTAAAAATCACCCAGAAAAACATAAAAGGTGCAAAAACTTTTCTACATATACAGGCTTGTTACGAATGCCTACTGCTCAAATTCTATATTAGCTTGTATACAAAGGGGAGATAATTTATAATTTATAATTGAATTCACCATACTTCTGAGATAATAAGATTATGCAGTGTACCTTAAAAACTACAGAATTCTTAGGTTGTAAAATATCAGTACAAATATATTTGAAAAAAGATCACCTTATGTGCAAATTTTTACAGCTTCAGAAAACAACAGATTCAAGAAACACAGACTAGAGCAAAAGCACATTCAACAAACAACAACTAAAAGAATAGACACTTGAAAACAAACAAATATAATTTGAAAAATAAATTCTGATATTTTTTTTCAGAGAGTATTGGTTTCCTTGGGTAGACATGATGAAGCCTTAGCAATAGCAGAGAGAGCCTGTACCCGTGCATTTATTGACTACCTCCTTGAGCGACAGGCTGGAGCTGAGGGTCTGTACAGGGGTAATATAGATCCTCCACCTGTCACACCTGCTCAGCTTACCAGTATTGTAGGAAAACAACAGGCTCTGGTGATGTACTATTCCATTGCTGCAGGGTATCTGTACTGCTGGCTTGTCACACCCAGAAATGGTAAGTTTAAATTCTCATGATCGCGAGATAATTTTTTAATATTTCATGCATCGTTGTACTTTGGATGGATTTATTATACCCCCGCTTTAAAAAAGGGGGGGTATATTGTTTTACCTCTGTCTGTCCTTCCATCAGTCCATCCGTCAGTCCATCCGTCCGTCCCATAAATATTTTCGTTGCATTTTTCTCAGGAACTACTTGACAAGGATTTCTGAAATTTGGTTTCAGGGTTTATATAAGTAAGTTACACCGTGTGATGCGTTTTCAGATTCATCACTCAACAACTTCCTGTTTACCGAAAAACTTATATTATTTTACACATGATAGCCAAGTTAAAAATTTTTGTCACATTTTTCTCAGTAACTACTTGACAAGGATTTCTGAAATTTGGTTTCAGGGTTTTTATAAGTAAGTTACACCGTGTGATGCATTTTCAGTTTCATCACTCAACTACTTCCTGTTTACCGAACACTTGTATTATTTTACACAAGATAGCCAAGTTGAAAATTTTCGTCGCATTTTTCTCAGGAACTACTTGACAAGGATTTCTGAAAATTGGTTTCAGGGTTTATATTAGTCAGCTTTACCGTGTGATGCGTTTTCAGATTCATCACTCAACAACTTCCTGTTTACCGAAATATTACAGCGGGGGTATCATCAGTGAGCAGTAGCTCACAGTTTTACTTGTTTTCTTGGATTGAGGAAATATTTTTTTGTGGATACTTGATTATGTGGTTTTGGAAAATTCATGGTTTATTGATACTCACGAAATCTACGAAAACTAATACCCCTGGAATTCTAATGAATGGACAGTATTATCTTTTTTCTCATCGAAAAATGTTTTAATCTGAACCGTTTTTAAATATATGGAACAGCAACCTAGCATTTAGCGATCTCAAATTGACAATAAAGAAAAGTTATTATTGACAGCAACCTAACAAAGTCATAATGATGGCAACCTATGGTCTTCAGTAATAGTCAATTTGTCCACAGTTTATGTCAAGCTCTAAATCAAGCCTTATCTAGACAAGTTGTGAAAAGTTTTATAAAGATTAGCAAAAAATTGACACCAACAAAAAAATCCTTACTGGACAAAAATGACATTGGATATAAAAAAAAACATGGACCACTGAAAAAGAAATGACATTGAAAGCAGTTTGATTCAAAGTTGTAATATTTGTAAGAAAAGTGAAAAATATTTACTCAACTGTATTTTGCCACTTTCTGCAACTCTTTAATGAAAGTAGAATATTTCCATATAATTCAAGCATTAATGATACATGGAGATCCATTGATAATGAAGTAAGAGTTATAATGAATTACTTTTGTATTTTTTGTAGGTATTGTAAAGTTTCATGAAGTAAATATGACAGAATTAGAAGCAGATTATGACACCAGTGACACACTGAGTATGAAGAGTGTTAGTTTTGGTTCCAGTTCTCTCATTGACCAGTATGTTGGTCACGTCAGAGAATCTATGGGTGTGGAGAGCCACAATATTAAGTAAGTTGATAGTTTGGATCTTAAACAAGCAGCAATCTATCAATGCCCTCTCTGTACTGGATGATATCCAATCAACAATCAAGCAATCAAAGTCATCTCTAAATAAGAGCAACATCGCAGAATGTGATACAATCATTTAAAGTGTTAATATTAGTTTTAAATGATTTAAATATCAACTTCACAGTCTATTCAATTCACACATATTTGATTCTTATCAAGTTTTACAGGTTGTTTATAAGTTATTCATTTAAATTCTATTTACTTTGATGCAGATTCATAAAAAATATTATTCATTTAAAATTTATTTTCTTTGATGCAGATCCATAAAAAAGATCACTTTCACTGCAAAAATTGATGTAATCCCATGAGAATGAAAAAATAATTTCTAACCATAACTGTTCACTTATTATAATCTATTTTCTTTGAAATAGTATATTATATATGAATAGATTTTTTGTTTTTTGTAATTTATAGGGATATTTTTTCCCTATGTTTTTTATTATTAGGCTTATAATATATTATTTCATTATGTCACAAATCTGTACATGATTCATATGACAATAAAGTTCTTGATATAAACAGAGTCCCATAACAATGAAAGGGCTATTTCAAAAATATGCGATCATACATCACAAAACTTTTTTTCATCTCTTCTTTTTTTAAGTGCTAAAAAATGTATTAAAATATTTATAAATTTTTAAGTAATTTTTGAAAATTGTTTTTGGGTTCAAAATCTAGACTGTTTAAATAAAACCACATTTTTTTAACAGAGCATCCACAGGGAGTATTAATAGAACATTTAATGATGGAGACAGCGAATGTGACGATGTCTGGCAACAGCATTTAGAGGAACTTGGTGACAAGCTGAATGCCGAGAACGACAAGACAGGATTCCTCCGAATGGTTAATCGTAATCACAAACTGAACAGTAGTAACTATAGTCTCAGCAGTTTATTCAGTCTTTCAACATTAAATGGTGTCAATTCTAGTTTTCACAGCACACGGAAAAACAGTCTACGCATTTATAACAAATCCGGGCACAATTCAGGGGCCAAAACTCCTTTGAGTGTTTTGTATCATATTTTGATCGAGCCTATGGAAGAGGCTTTAGAAACAGCGAGTGAAGATTACGGAGCAGGAACAATCGATTTGGTCTTAGTGCTACAAGGGGAATTGTATTTAATTCCCTTCTCAATTTTGAAAAAGGACCAAAAATCAGAATGTCTGTTCGAACGATTTAATATTAGTATTATGTCTTCTGTGACGAACTTACAAAATGCTCAAAAACACGAAAAACAAGGACGACCAGTAATTGATTCATCTGGTGCTGTTGTCGTTGGTAATCCCAAATTGTCTCCCGGGTCTAGTCAACACTGGATTTTCAAAGACATTCCCGAAGCGGAATATGAAGCACGAGTAGTTGGAGAACTCCTGACAAGTCGGCCATTAATTGGTCCAGATGCTACGAAAGCAGCTATTTTACACCAAATAGAACAGGTTGAAGTGATTCATTTTTGTACACATATTTCATGGAAACTTTCATCAATTGTTTTAGCACCGAGTGAAAATATCCCTCCACAACACCGTTTCCCGTCAATTGACTCCGATGACAGTTCAAGTGATATCACAGGTTTCGATGGTCCGGCTATGTCTGAATATCTATTGACAGCTGCTGATATTCTGAACTTGAAACTTCATGCCAAACTTGTTGTGTTGAGTTCTGGTTACACTGACGATCGAGCCGGTAGAATTAATTCTGACGGTGTTGTTGGATTAACGAGAGCCCTGCTTTCTGCAGGTGCTAAGTGTGTTTTGTATTCACTATGGCCTGTGCCTGACGATGCATCGAAAATGTTAATGAGATCACTTTACACTGCCTTACAAGAAGGACAATCTGTCACTCACGCACTTCAGCATGCAATGAAAGCTGTTCAGTCGGCCAGACAGTATTCACATCCTGCTAACTGGGGAGGTTGGATATTAGTTGGACATGATATAAAGTTAAGCAGCAAGATAGCTTTGATGGGACATGCTATTTGTGAGATTTTACTTTCACCTGGTCAGTGTAGAGAGGCCATGAGGGTGTTATTGCACTTGGTAAGAAAATTTCTAATTCTTTATATATTTTTTAGATTTCTGTGGTTTGAATTTGTTATTTACAATCATCTTATGGCAGAAATATCTTTTAAGGCAAGACAAGTAACAGCGTTTTTGTTGAAAGAATTGCAGAATGAAAGTCTTCTACCATGATGTGATTTCTGCATTGATTTGTGTTTGCTTGCTTTACACAGCCCTTGTCCTGTATAAACTTTCAAATCAAATGTATTTGGTATGATTCGTATAAAGAATGATGTAAGGGGGATGTTGTATGGTACACTGGCTGGAATAAATGTTCTACTGAACATTGGTTGATACCAGTGCTGTTTTTTGGACATTTACTTCGAAATAAAAATATATGGCTCTAGATATTACCTTTTAAAGTATTTTTAATTATTTTTAATCAAACTTGTTTTAACAATGATGACAATAAAAAACCAATTTTCAATTTACAGTAGATAACATTCACTTCATTGGTCTCTGGTGGATAGTTGTCTCATTGGCAATCATACCACATCTCCTTATCTGTATACTACTAAATTTTATTATATAAACATGTATTGAGCACACATGTAAAGAAATCTGTATAATATACATTTGTTTTTATGTTTACAGATTGAGAAGTCATTGATGAGAATTCACCAAGGCATTAAAAACTCCATGTATACAACCTACACCTCAATAGAGAACAAGGTTGGAGGTATAGCAGGATGGAAGGATTTGTTGAAGGCTGTAGGATTTCGGTTTGAGGCTGGACAGAATGACCTACCTCCAGCAGTGTTCTTTCCTCAGAGTGACCCAGGAGACAGGCTCACCCAGGCCAGCTCTAATTTACAGGCACTTCTTGGTAAGGGGAATGTTACTTGACTGAAAAAAAGTCGTGTTGGTGTTAGTGTTAGGAAGAAAGGGATTTGAGAAATCTGTTTAGAAGTCAAATTTATTGTTTAGTGTATTGAGGATTCAAAGAATTTCAAAACAACATACAAGTAGAAAATGTTATTGTAAAAATTTATTGTTTTGAACTTCAAGTATATTAGAACATCAGACAATTTCTTACAGAGAGACTTTTATAAAAAGAAAAGAAAATTTATAAATATGTCTGCTCATTGAAAGGAAATACATTTGGATGCACTGTATTTATAAAAAGAATAGATGGTAATGTGATGGGACACAACATTCTATGATATTTTGATCTCATAGATATGCTAGATTATTTCTATTGATACAGGCTTAAATTCACATCTCATTTTAAGAATTTTATTAAAAGATGAATATTTGTCTTATTTTAGGATTGCCACCAAGTTGTCTGTCAGCTCTGTCCAAGTTTTTACCAAACTATGATGCTGGAGAGGCAAATATCAGAGTGGTATGTTTAATTAGTTATACATGTTATTTGCAAAGATATTGAATTTTTTTATTGAATCTTTGAAAATTGAATTAGCAAATGATTTATAGCAAGTTTGGCTATCTGTCGCAAATTGCATTGCAAACAGAATGAATTTTCTCACCAACATGTTTGAATATCTGAAGATAAAATATTGGAAATTCATTGCCATATTGGTATTATTTTTCTTTCATGTTTTGACGCATTTAGGCGTTTTATATATTCTGAATATATTTGGTCACATAGTGACTCTTAAACTTTTGCATTTATTGTATTAAATTAAGAAAAATTGTTTTGTTATGTCTTTCTGCACTTGGGTGTTTTCCATAAATCATGACTTTGTTATTTATTGTAAATGAACATTTTTGTATTGACTTGAGATAAGGTATGTACCATCTTGTTCCAGATGAGAGATATACTCAGCAAAATGGCGGCTAGAGAAGTCAACGTGGACGTACAGCTGAATGTTCAACTATGGAGAGTACCTGGTTGTCATGAATTCTTTGCTTCACTAGGTAAGGGAGATAACTGTGTTTTTTCTATAAATATTTTTTTTCCATTTGAGCAGAAAATATCATAAATTTGCTGAGTTTTGAAATGCAAATTTAATTAAATAGCAAATTTGATTTGTAACTTCATAACATAACACACGCATTGGTACCTGTTTAAAAAAGTTCATAAGAAAAATCACAAATTGATAGATAAAAAAATTACATGGAAATTATTTATATTTTTATATTCTTTGTATTGTAGGTTTAGATTTGGTAGAAGTGGGAAGAGATGATGTTACTCTAAGACTTGGTAAACAGGCAGTCAGACGTCAGCTACAATTTGCCCTTCAATCACTGGTGGCAGTCTTTGGTAAGAAACCTTTCTTCTGCAAAATTGAAATTTCAACAGAAAAATCAAGAAACATGAAAAATTTTAATTTCATAAGAATGAAAGTTTTACCAAGTTATGCAGTTTTATTAATATTTAGGTCTTAACAGGTTTATTGTAAATATGTGTTTCTCACCTTTTTTTATGATGAATTTTGATGAATTTTAAATTTCTATTTTTATCATTAGAATTAAGAAAAATACATGAACTTAATTTCAAGGAAATGTCCATATAATCAGGTAAAAAGAAAGTTTTCCCAATGATTTAAAGGAAATGTAAATTTTCATATTTTATTTATTAATCTATTTTTGAATTTTTAACAGACACACAAGAAGCTCCCAGATCATTAACTATGGACAGTTCTAGTAGTTTAGAAAGTTTATCCTCATCACACAGTGGTTCCACATCCACTTCCAACTTCTCAAAAGGAAGCACACCACCCATATCACCTCGGTGTGGTAAGAAGAAGTCACTGTTTAATCCTGCAGAAATGGAGAAGATGAGAATGATGACAAAGATGCAGCTTATGAACCAGGTAAGTTGTTACCATGGAGATGAAAGGCCTAATCTTTACCCTTTGAACTTTATTGCGAATTACACTGCTGCTCCCTTGTTTTATTCACATTATTATTTAGTTACAAGTTGGAAGCAGAAGATTTTTTTTTTAACAAATCAGGTTATTACTGTTTCACTGATGCTTTGATTCAGTAAAATATGACAACTTTATATTATTTAACCTGTAGGGTCATATATTTTCATTATGACATGAATTGAGGTTCTGCAAACAATTAGGAATGCTTGGTATTTACCAAAGGCTACATAAATGTTTAGTGCCATGTTGAAATTTCTATGCATGTATTTTTCGAAAAAATGTGTAAACAGATCAGAAAAAAAACAGAAGCTACAAAGAATACCTTTTAATTTAAGCTAAAAAAAACAAAACAAGATAGAATTCATGAATTGATGTCAAAAAAAAATATTCCAAAAATAAAAACCCAAAAATATACTAAATTCTGAGTTTTACATCATTGACAGTTGTTCTATTATGTGATACATGTAATTTATAATTATAAAAACATTGCAGAAATTTAGAATTTTAGCAAATATTTTTTATTTTGTTAATTTTAGGGAGGATTGTCTGGGAGAAAAGTTTCGTCCAAAAGTTCAAAGTCAGGACCAGTAGATCCATCACTCAACCTGTCACATCAAAACAAGATCAAAAATATGTATCCTCCTTCAAATGCCACAGTAGCTTTACATTCCGATATTGATGAAATGCAGGAGATCGTCAGTGAAAATAGTGAAAGTGAATTCGACAGTCGCAGAAGTGAGGGGACAGGAAGTTGGAATGATTTTCGCATGCAAGTTTCGTCAAATAATTCCGAAAGTGATGGAAGTACTATTCCGGAAGGTCGTCATTCTTCTGAATCAGAACCTTTAAAAACAATTGAAGAAAATGTTGATGATACAAAAGTAGAAATTTGTGAAGAATTTGAAGAATATACATTTAGTCGGCAAGCGAGTGAAATGAGTGCCGATGGTGATCACTATCATCATGAATTTGATAGAGAGGATAGTAATCGGCAGTCAAACATGTCTGCCGCAAGTAGTGATGTAGAAAGAGCATACTTTGAAAATCAAAACATGAATCGAAATTCTTATTCTGACAGCAGTCAGGCAGATGATGCCTTTCATAGAGACGATCTCAAAAGGCAGTCGGATATGTCTGATACCAGTGGAATTAGTGACAATTTCATTACATCGAAAAGTTTGACGCTGACATTACCATCTGAATTGGTTACGGAAAGTGGACAATTATCGAGTGAGTCTGGAATTCATTCAGAGGTGACCTCTAATCAAAGTGACGCAAGTCAACAAAGCATGGATGTTTCACAATTTCCTTTAAATCCATCGGAAATTGCGTTGCGTGTGTTAGCAGACGTTGGTCCAGAACATGCTGCTTTGGAGGAGGTACAATCTCAAAGTATTGCAGCATCTCAAAATGAATCTTTTCAACAAAGAAAACAGTTTTTCAAATCTTTGTCTTCAGGAGGGAATACATCCAATTTTAAAGCAGTTCAGCAGTTAATGTCAGGTGGTTCTGTAACAAATACTCAAAACTCTTCGGAAAAAATAAAACCACCTGTTCCTCAAAGAGGGGTAAAAATGCCTCCTCCTATACCTGCTAAACCGAAACCGTCACAAAATCTATCAGAAAATTTTCAAAAATTGAAATTATCCAATCAGAATTCAGGGAATAATTCAGTGCAAACAACTAAAACATTATCAGAACAAGAAAAGTCAGAATCTTATGATTTTGAAGATGATTTATCATATACAATTACTACTTCCTCAAATCGCAAAGGTGTCAAAATATTGAAATCTGGAGATTCAAATTCAACTTTTAGTTCATTTAAACCTCCACAAAAAGGAAATTTTCTCTTGAATAGTAGTCGTCCAGAAAGTAGTGCTAGTATAAGTAGTGTTTACTCCACAGGATCCTCCGTCCAAACAGTGATTCATCGCTCACATAAAGGAATGTCACCAAATATAGCAGCAAATATTCATTCTCCAGAACAGTTTACAAATGGACGTCGGCAAAGCCCAGCTACATCAGGTTCTGATAATGATATAAGAATCAGAACAGGGCTTGCACATAGCTCTTGGTACAATGTGGACAGTGACAGTTCCCAGAATGCATTATTCGAAAAAAGATGTTCTAATAGTTCGTTAAGTAGTACTTCCTCTTTCTCTGATGTCAATAATCAGAGGAAAACAAAATCTATTTTAAACGGTTCACCAAACAATCCTCGACCAAGGGGTAAAAAACCAAGAAAACGGGTCAGTTTTTCAGACTCTGAACCAAGTGATTTAGATTCCTCTAATCATAGTCGGTCATTGCATGATATTAGTCCAGTAGATGGTTACATTAGTCCCTTAAGTAGGAGTAGGAATATTTATCAGGGATTTCACAGTCGAACGCCATCACCTTATGCCAACAAAACAGTGCCAAAACAAAATCAAAATTCCGCTGGAAATGATTCTGTGAAATGGGAACCAGTTATCAATGGTGGTGTGCCAAATCCTCTTTTAATTAATGGAACAATAACACAGGAACAGGTTTTAAATGGAAGTGTTCCAAATTTGACAGGAAATAGTGCTGATAATTCTAATTTTAGAGCCAGTACTGGGACTATTCCAAATTATAGCAATACAAATGGAAATATGCCAAATTATTTTCCTAACAGCAATGGAAACTTGACTAGCTCTAGTGGAACGACTTTTATCAAACAGGGAACAAGTTTTTCTTCGCAGACAATAGGAAACGGTAGAAATTTATCAACTTTTGGACAAAGTGCATTTAATCATATGTCTTCTCAGCCTCAAAGTAATTTGCAGTCATCAAACAACATGAACAATGGCTCCATTCCAAATTTCAATGGTACAACATTCAACAAACGGCCGAACAATTTAACATCACAATCATCTAACCATATACAAATGCTTTACTCTGGACAGCAGAGACCTCAGTCGAGTAGGCCACAGCAAGTGCTACAATCTTCAAAATGTTAATGTGATATTTTAATTTTTACAGTAAATGTACTTCTCACACTCTTTATCTTTACCATTTTTCAGCTTTACTGTGTCAAAGTTTAATTATACAGGATGAAACGTTATGCATATATAATTTTTGAATAGAGTAAATGAATTATTGAAAGTTAAAGCTAGCCCTTGCCCCTTTTTTGTAATTTGACAGACTGAAAATCCCCCAGAAGCAAAATATTACATTACATATATTCTCATATTTTCATAAATCTAGTTAAAAATAATTTGATAAATTTTGTTTACTTATTTCAAGTGGTTAACTCCCATAATCTTAATAATTTTTTCCCATAAAAGATGATTTTTTGTTGTGGGGGAGGAGGATGATACTTTTGTGATCAGAAAATAACTTATATTTATTATGTTTTATGAATAGATATAACCTTAATATAAGCAATAAGTTACTATCAATGTTAATAGCAGACAAATTGTGCAATTTCAAAAAAAGTATTTCTTTCTTCATCTAATTTACATGAAGAGAGAAAAAAAAATTAATTATCTATATTAGATTTTCATTACATTTCATCTAGACTACTTGAATATAGAATTTCAAATCTAACAGGTCATTTTTTCATGGAGTTAACAGGACTAATTAATTTATGGTGAAAGAGATATTTTTTAAAACCTTAGATGCCTAATGTTGAATTGAGAAGAAATCAAGTTTATAATTTTCTGTATTTCGCTGAAGATTAAAAATCTAAAGGGATAATTTTTGATTCCTAAATAAAAAAAATACATGTAGGACATATTTAATCTTTACTCATGTGGGCTTGGGTTTTGTAGTCTTATTTTTAATTTAAGATCTTTACATACAGTATTTCGTAGAACAGTAATATGTTATAGATTTGTGCTAATAAAAACCATTTTACAAATATTAACATACTTATGTCACAAAATAATGGTTTGGAAAATTTTGTCATCTAACATATTTAATAACAACACACTTATTATGTGATAAGGAACAGTTGTGTGAGTAATTGCATCAAGATAGAAAGTTTGTAACAGTAAATCACATATTTTATGTTCACAAATTTTTAAAAACATTTTAATCAAGTCAAGAATTACTTTTATTATATACATATAGAACATATATATAATGAGTTCTGGAAGATCTGTCTCTTTAAATATACAGGTTTTTGAACAATTGAATCTCATATAAATATACATTTGTGCATTTAGAATATTTCAAATACATTCCATTTACTATATTAATGTTTAGTTCTGCCATTCCAAAAATAATCAAAACAATGGTGTACATTCATGACATTTTCGGTAGCATTTATTTATCATTTTGTATATATGATTATTTGTTTATGATATGTACATAATATTGTATAAATTTCATTGTATATAAAATATCATTTTCATCTTATCTGACATATCAAAAGAAATAATTTATATTCTTGCCTTTAATCAAGAGGCAAAATAAAATATGAAAAATCCTTATTCCTTGTTATTGTTGATTGAATTTGAGAAGAAATGAAGGGCTGAGGAAGATACAGAGAGTTTAAAATACTGTAGAAAGTTTATCAGATTTAAGGTTAACATTATATAAATAACACATAGCTGAGAGGGTGATAGAGCAGATTGTTACCCCGAGAAAACATTGTCAACTGAGGCGAATCCAAGGTTGACAATGTCTTTTCGAGGGGTAACTATCTGCTCTTTCACCCTCTCAGATATGTGTTATTTAATTTATTATACTGAATGTTCTGTTATTACTGTCGATTAAATTTCAAATTCAAAGTAATAAACTATGACGTCTTGTACATAACAACCATCCGTATTTGATAAAGCGCACACTTGATCAAGCGTCTCCTTGAAGGGTTATAGAGTAAATTAACACCCTCGTATAAGCCAATCAAAATGTTGCATTTTTACGTGAAGTATAATAATATATAAATAACACATAGCTGAGAGGGTGATAGAGCAGATTATTACCCCGAGAAAACATTGTCAACTGAGGCGAAGCCAAGGTTGACAATGTCTTTTCGAGGGGTAACAATCTGCTCTATCACCCTCTCAGCTATGTGTTATTTAATTTATTATACTGAATGTTCTGTTATTACTGTCGATTAAATTTCAAATTCAAAGTAATAAACTATGACGTCTTGTACATAACAATAATAATGATAATAACAATGTAATAGAGTAAATTAACACCCTCGTATAAGCCAATCAAAATCTTGCATTTTGACGTGAAGTATAATAAAACATATTATTACATTGGTTGCAATGAATTACATTGATTTCCCAGTGAAATAAAAACCGATAATTTCACATGTGAAATAAACGTAGTTCCTTACATTTTCTACTTTAATTTCATAAAAAAGCCATTTGCTAATGTAATAAAAAGAATAACTAATCAAAGAATTCAAATATCGAAAAATATTCAACTCGTGACCGAACAACACTGATAATTAACTCATGCGCTACGCGCATTCGTGAATTAATGTGTTGTTATCAATTTAATTTATTATACTGAATGTTCTGTTATTACTGTCGATTAAATTTCAAATTCAAAGTAATAAACTATGACGTCTTGTACATAACAATAATAATGATAATAACAATGTAATAGAGTAAATTAACACCCTCGTATAAGCCAATCAAAATCTTGCATTTTGACGTGAAGTATAATAAAACATATTATTACATTGGTTGCAATGAATTACATTGATTTCCCAGTGAAATAAAAACCGATAATTTCACATGTGAAATAAACGTAGTTCCTTACATTTTCTACTTTAATTTCATAAAAAAGCCATTTGCCAACGTAATAAAAAGAATAACTAATCAAAGAATTCAAATATCGAAAAATATTCAACTCGTGACCGAACAACACTGATAATTAACTCATGCGCTACGCGCATTCGTGAATTAATGTGTTGTTCGATCACGAGTTGAATATTTTTCTCTATTTGAATTCTTCGATTAGTTATTCTATAATTATTCTGGAGTCATTAACATTTGTGGACACACATTTTCGTGGATTTCACAGTTTAGGCAACCAAAAATTAAATTAATACTTGAGGAAATACAAAAATCTTCTTATTTGAAAGGAGTAAATTATGAAACCATGACATAACGTACCCTCAAAATAGCTTTTTTTTTTCTCTCAACAACAAAAATTGACACAAATGAAAATTGAAATGAATCAACAGATTGTCCTCTTGATCATTCATTCTCACAATGAATTAAAGACATTTCTTTTGTCTATACAGTACACTTTAGTGATTCATTAAAATATCCCTCTTGCTGGCAATATGTTAATCACTGTTAAACTAGGTAACTGCTTAGCCACCAGTAATGAAGTAAATGAACTATGCAAAAAAAAAGTTATTGAACACTTGGTGCATAACTTTACTTTTACTTTTTCTGTTGGACTGGTATACTTCATAAATAATGTTATCCACCAATAACAGTCTCATTGTCAATCATATCACATAATTTTAACACAACAGTAGGATCAACAGAGGAAAGCTCCATAGCTAACTCATGTATGCCTGGATTGATTTTCTCACTTACATTATTGTTTTGGACTGATAAAAGGAAACTCCCTTTCTATTTTTTTTTAATTTTCTGGTTTTTGATTTTCTCACTTTACATTATTGTTTTGAATTGATAAAAGGAAACTCCCTTTCTATTTTTTTCAATTTTCTGGTTTTTTATTTTCTCACAACTTTACATTATCGTTTTGGATTGATAAAAGGAAACTCACTTTCTATTTTTCAATTTTCTGGTTTTTGATTTTCTCACTTACATTATCGTTTTGGATTGATAAAAGGAAACTCGCTTTCTATTTTTCAATTTTCTGGTTTTTGATTTTCTCACTTACATTATCGTTTTGGATTGATAAAAGGAAACCCGCTTTCTATTTTTTCAATTTTCTGGTGTGTTGTTGAAGAGTTACATTTTTGTCTCGCCTGTGACGAAAGTTGCAGTAAGCGAGACATAGGTATTACTATCCAGCGGCGGAGGCATAAAATATTTGTATAAAGCTTTATATTTCAGAAGGTAGAAGACCTGGATGCTTCATATCTTGTATGCAGATTGTCCTTGACCTCATTTTCATGGTTCAGCAACTGCTTGAAAATTTTTTTTAGTTTTTTTGTCATGTGAATTTCTCACATATTATGAGTACCGGTAATATGATAACTATATTTGGTATATGGGTTCCTTGCAACATCTACATGTCTGTCAGACAGAGTTCACCTGACCTCAACCTCATTTCATGGATCAGTGATCAAGGTTAAAGTTACATGATTAGGTCCATTTCTCAAATAATATAAGCAATATAGTGTATGGAATAATTGTAATAGGTGCATGTCAGTCTGGCAGGTTTCATCTAACCTTGACCTCATTTTCATGGTTCAATGGCCAATGTTACTTTTTGTGTTTTTGTCTGTTTTTCAAGTGCTATAAGCAAAAGGTCAACTATATTTGGTGTATGGAATGATTGTAAGGTGAACATGTCTGTCTGGCAGGTATCATCTGACCTGGACCTTATTTTCATGGTTCATTGGTCAATGTTAAGTTTTTGTGTTTTTGTCTGTTTTTCAAGTACTATAAGCAATAGGTCAATTATATTTGGTGTATGGAATAATTGTAATAGGTGCATGTCAGTCTGGCAGGTTTCATCTAACCTTGACCTCATTTTCATGGTTCAATGGTCAATGTTACTTTTTGTGTTTTTGTCTGTTTTTCATGTGCTATAAGCAAAAGGTCAACTATATTTGGTGTATGGAATGATTGTAAGGTGTACATGTCTGTCTGGCAGGTATCATCTGACCTTGACCTTATTTTCATGGTTCATTGGTTAATGTTAAGTTTTTGTGTTTTTGTCTGTTTTTCAAGTACTATAAGCAATAGTTCAACTATATTTGTGTATGAAATGATTGTAAGGTGTACATGACTGCCTGAAACTTGACCTCATTTTGATGGTTCAAAGGTTAATGTTAAGTTTTTGTGTTTTGGTCTGTTTTTCAAATATTAATAGCAATAGGTCAGCTATATTTGGTGTATGGAATAATTGTAAGGTGCACATGTCTGTCTGGCAGGTATAATCTGACCTTGACCTCATTTTCATGGTTCATTGGTCAATAAAAAGTTTTTGTGTTTTGGTCTGTTTTTCAATTAGCATACGCAATATTTCAACTATATTTGTTGTATAAAAAAATTGTAAGTTGTATACGTCTGTCTGACACGATTTATCTGACCTTTACCTCATTGTCATAGATCTATAAAAATATAAAGTTTCTGTAATGCTTTTAGTAAAACCTTTATCTTTAAGATTTTTAACATAAAATCAATGGTCAGTAAAGCAGGCGAGACATTTTCAGCGTGTGCACTCTTGTTTAATTGTAAGATTTGAGTAACCTTTTCACATGTACCATAACTTGAGTTTGCTTGGATTGATTTTCTGGAAACTTTAGATAGTTGGTGAGTGTAAACTTGCTTTTGATTTTGAAAACTTTCTGGTTTGTCATTTTAGAGTTCTTGACTTTTAACAGTCATATTCGCTGCAGTATCCATACATCTAAGGGTATCTTCCTGCATGTAATGTTCTACAGAGCCATTTTATTTGCTTCTGATCAAATGCAAAAGAAAGGATTGATAGGTATTGATTACTGTACATTCAGTAATTATTGCGAGGTTTATATTAATGCGAATAATGGGGTTCCTTGAGTATCGCAATACTAACTCGCATTCTTGTACATATATAGAATGTATGTATGTAGCTTTTCCTAAATTTGCAATAATTAAACTCACATTTTGATCATGCTTCGAAAATTGCATTAACAGATGCACGCAATAATTTCTGAATTTACAGTATTTAGTGAGCAATCGTTCAACCATCTATTCAGGATCAGCACTTTGAATGATTTGAACGTGACAGAGGACTATAGTGGTTTCTAAAAGATCTAAGACCGCGGAAAACCTGTTGCTAGTATGTTGACACACAGACACATTGTATCAGTCAAACAATCATGATGGTGACAGTAAAATGTATGTAGTGTTGATTTTAGTCGTTCATTCTCATGACTCTGTTGGACCAGTTTTTGTGTAAGGAAAACACCCATGTTAACGTAGTAACGTATTAACTGAGATATATAAACTCCATACGCCGTAGTAGAGAGTATGTTCTGCTAAGAATGAAAAGTTGAAACCCTCATATTTGTTATAGATACTAGTTCGAAATAATAGTCCATCAAACTCAACAAATATTTTGTGGATTCAAAAGTCCAACATT